GTGGGCTTTCAAGAGCACGAAGGAGACAGTTTTCTTAACGCTTGATTTATTGCATGGTTATTAGAATGCACTTGTTCCAATTGCTTTGTCAAACAGGAACACTCAGAAGATTATTCCTTTTTTTACTCTGGAAGAAATGCAAGGTTATATATGCCAAAGCACTTGTTTCAGATCCTTTGATAAATGTATGTAATTGGGAGATCATTTTCCATTTTCCACTTGCTGCATAATAATGAATAGCAACTTGAAGGCTATTTCAATTTTATTATTGATTGTACATCCGTAGAGATGTACACAATACTTGTTGAAGGATAATCTGCAGAGAGGGATATTAAAAACCCTGTCAAAACTCAGAAGTGGAAAAATGAAATAGATCAATTATATATCAATGGAATGCTGAAATTTACAGTTAGGACACTTGTAATACTGAAGAAAATGAGGCTTGCTTTAGGCATGTTAGGTCTACATCTGATCTAAGAGGAATTAATAGAGAAAAAAAAAAAATAAGCAGAGCCTTTCTGCCGGGCGGTCCAGATTGACATATACATGTACATGTATGCTGCGGTTGCTCATGTATATTTATATTGTTCTCAGCGATATTACAACTTATTTCAACAATGTAGCAATAAAAGAAAAATATTATTGTTGCCAATTTGAAGAACATTATGTGATCAATTTAGCCCGAATTATAAATCCTGACCTGAAGGGGTAATAAAACTTCATGTTACTTAAAGGGGAAGTCCACCCTGAAATTAAGTTAGTTTTAATAGGAGTAGAAAAATGAGAGAAACAAGTCAGTGAAAGTTTGAGCAAATTATGATTAAAAATAAGGAAGTTAGGATTTTCGAAGTTGTGATCAATCAAACACAAATTGGCAACTCTATGATGTATCATGCGAGCTCAACTTCCATTTGCTCAGTACTAAAAAAATCTAAAATTTTCATTTTCCCTCAAGAAAAATTTCAACCATACATGCACCCTAAATATAATAATTGCAAATATGTTTCTATACTCCCCCTGCAAGGAACAAATATATATTCCGTCATCAATAACGAAGAAAACATGATTTTATGGAATATTATGCACAAAGCAAATGAAGGAGAGCTCGTATAATAAGTCACAGAGTTGCCAATTTGTATTTGATTGATCACAACTTCAATAATTCATAACTTTCTCATTTTCATTCAGAATTTGCTCAAACTTTCACTCACCTGATTTTCTTATTATTCTGCCTCTATCGAAACAAACTTATTTGGGGGGTGGACTTTCCCTTTAAAATGCCTGAACAAATATAAAGTGGAATGGTTTAGCAACACAGTCGTTTGTTGACGGCAAGAAAGGCAATAGAAAATGTAGGTCTGTGTAAAAGACATTGCGAGTTACAGCCTTCTGGCCATTTCCCCTTGACTGTGAAAGTGAAAAGTTGTGTAAATTGTGTTAATATTAATTTATTAGTTTGTTATTGGCTAAATTTCACACAAATCTCCTTTCTTTTAATGGAGAAGATTAGTAGCCCGACATATCCAAAATGATTTGCATGAATAATTTGCCATAGAGCAAGAATGTTAAGAAGAACCTTTAATTATTATACATGGAGGTTTACAATACATGTACATCATTTGCCTGTGACTATGCCTTTTAAACGAGAAGAATTTAATGCAGTGGTCATGGTTAATTAATGCAGTATTGCATAATATGAAAAAGTGGGATTATCTAGTGTAATCTTGAAAGGTCCATTATCCGTTGCTACGATGAAGGAAGATGAGTGGAGAATGTTGAGTGATCGTGAGGGGTTCGTTAGATGAGAAGGGTACTAATGGCCATTGAGAGAGATAGAGAGAGAGAGGGAGAGAGAGTTAGGGAAAGAGACAGGAGAGACAGAAAGAGAAGAAGAAGAGAGATAGAGAGAGAGAGAGAGAGAGACAGTTAGGGAAAGAGACATGAGAGACAGAAAGAGAAGAAGAAGAAGAGAGAGAGAGAGAAAGGGAAAGAGACAGGAGAGACAGAAAGAGAAGAAGAAGAAGAAGAGAGAGAGAGTTAGGGAAAGAGACAGGAGAGACAGAAAGAGAAGAAGAAGAAGAGAGAGAGAGAGAAAGGGAAAGAGACAGGAGAGACAGAAAGAGAAGAAGAAGAGAGATAGAGAGAGAGAGAGAGAGAGAGAGAGACAGTTAGGGAAAGAGACATGAGAGACAGAAAGAGAAGAAGAAGAAGAGAGAGAGAGAGAAAGGGAAAGAGACAGGAGAGACAGAAAGAGAAGAAGAAGAAGAAGAGAGAGAGAGTTAGGGAAAGAGACAGGAGAGACAGAAAGAGAAGAAGAAGAAGAGAGAGAGAGAGAAAGGGAAAGAGACAGGAGAGACAGAAAGAGAAGAAGAAGAGAGATAGAGAGAGAGAGAGAGAGAGAGAGACAGTTAGGGAAAGAGACATGAGAGACAGAAAGAGAAGAAGAAGAAGAGAGAGAGAGAGAAAGGGAAAGAGACAGGAGAGACAGAAAGAGAAGAAGAGAGAGAGAGAGAAAGGGAAAGAGACAGGAGAGACAGAAAGAGAAGAAGAAGGAGAAGAAGAGAGAGAGTTAGGGAAAGAGACAGGAGAGACAGAAAGAGAAGAAGAAGAGAGAGAGAGAGAGTAAGGGAAAGAGACAGGAGAGACAGAAAGAGAAGAAGAAGAGAGATAGAGAGAGAGAGAGAGAGAGAGAGACAGTTAGGGAAAGAGACATGAGAGACAGAAAGAGAAGAAGAAGAAGAAGAAGAAGAGAGAGAGAGTTAGGGAACAAGACAGGAGAGACAGAAAGAGAAGAAGAAGGAGAAGAAGAGAGTGAGAGAGTAAGGGAAAGAGATAGGAGAGACAGAAAGAGAAGAAGAAGAAGAAGAAGAAGAGAGAGAGAGAGAGAGAGAGAGAAAGAAAGAGGAGCAAAAGATAGGAAAGCTGGGTTTATATTTTGAATGGTCCATTATTCTTTTTGAGGATGAAGGAAGATAATTCTAAAAAGTATAAGTCAGTAAGTAAGTGATGAGGAATGCATAATATGAGAGATGGGGAGAGAAGAAGAAAATGAGGGGCAGAGATGGAAAGGCAGAAGGAGAAAAAGGAAAGAGGAGAGGAGGAGATGGGAATTATGGGCATTGAGAGAGAGAGATAGAGTGATAGAGACTGGAGGGACAGAAAGAGGAGAGAGAGAGAGAGAGAGAGAGAGAGAGAGAGAGAGAGAGAGAGAGAGAAAGAGGAGTCTATGTTTCGAATGGTCCCATTCTTATTTTGCTAGGATGAAGGAAGATAATTTAAAAGATGTAATAAGTGATGACGACTGCATGACATTAGAGCGGCATGAGATGAGAGATGGAGAGATATAAAGGAAATGAGGGGTAGAGATGGAAAAGCAAAAGTAGAAAAGAAAGATGAGAGAGAGAGAGAGAGAGAGAGAGAGAAAGGTGTAAACATAGAAGAGATTGTATCATGGAAAGTCTAGATCTTGAGCTAGGAAAAAGGAGTATGTGGAGTGATAAGGTGATGTGAGAAGGAAATGAGGGGCAGAGAGAGAGAGAGAGAGAGATGATAGAATCAGAATGAGAAGCAAGGAAAGAGGAGGAGAAAGATAAAGATTAGGGAAAGAGAGGTAGAACTGTTTGCATTGTGAAAGGTCCATTAGCTGTTGCTAGGTTGGATGGAGCTGGCTAAAGAATGTGAGGTGATGTGGGGTGGCGAGGTGGTGTGAGGTGGAGTTCATAGCAAGAATTGAAGAGAGTCGGGGGAGAGGAAATGAAAGGAGGCAGAGAAAAAGAAGGGGCATGGAAAGTAAGACTGATGGAAAGAGACAAGAGAAACAAAAAGAAAGACAGAGAAAGGAGAGAAATGGGGAGAGAAAGAGAGAGATAAAGAGTGAGAGAGAGAGAGAAAGAAAGAGAGAGAGAGAGAGAGAGAAAGAAAGAGAGATAGATAGAGAAAGAAAGAGAGAGATAGATGGAGAGAAAGAGATGGAGAGAGAGAAAGAGAGAGAGAGAGAGAGAAAGAAAGAGAGAGAGAGAGAAAGAAAGAGAGATAGATAGAGAAAGAAAGAGAGATAGATGGAGAGAAAGAGATGGAGAGAGAGAAAGAGAGAGAGAGAGAGAGAAAGAAAGAGAGATAGATAGAGAAAGAAAGAGAGAGAGATAGATGGAGAGAAAGAGATGGAGAGAGAGAGAGAGAGAGAGAGAGAGATGGATTTATAGGCATGATCAATGCATTTATTTATGCATTCATTACATAAGTTCTTCCCTGACATTTGCAAATCTAGTGGGGAGAAATATATTGTTATGTACTTTGTTTCCAAGTACTGTTGAGCTGGTTTTCCTTGAAACAGACAAATTAATCAGTGTCTATTTGCTTTGTGGCAATTAAGGAATGTACTCTTCGTTGGTGTCATTTTTATTTGACAAAACCATTTTTCTGTCCTATTTTTCCTAGTTGATTTTTCTCAAGGGTGCAATGAATGCAATAGAATTATATTGTACAAATTCAGTTTCTGCATTTTGATTGTTTATAATTTAGTTCACATGAATATAAACTATGTGGAAGTACATTATTAGAAAGGACATCATTGGAAGTCTTGGTTACATAGAATTGAATCCTTGGAATTGTTCAAATCTTATACTGGAAGAACACTTTTAGTACACATTTGACTTGATTAGTAGAATATTTTTAATGTAATTTATGAAAGAAAGCAATTGGATTTCAATTTAAAGATTACTGTTACTAGAAAAACCGTCTACAAGGCATAAAAGGGCAACTGACGAGAGGATATTATGTGCATTCCTAGAAAAATGTATAAAATATCAATTTCTAGAAAAATGCATAAAAATCAAAGTTATGACATTTATTTAACTACACATGACGTTTCAGTAAAATTTGATTTTTTTTTTGGTTGAAATTTGAGCAAAAATTGTGTCTGAGCCCTACACCTTGTAGCAAATTCAGCAATTTTCATAAATTACTAAATGTGAGCAATATTCTCTCATCTTCCCTTCTAGGTACACTACCTCATCGTCACAAGATAGTCATTGCAGGTAACCATGAACTTACCTTTGACCAGCAGCTCATGACGGAGAGGAATAGTCACGTCTTCATGAGCTTTGCATCTGCCTTTGAAGGTAAGCTGTTCACCTTGTTATTCACATTGACCATTGTCTAATGTTCTTCGGCAAGACATTATATTATCTACATTTGCCACTCTTCACCCATCAACATTAACCAATTGATAATGTCCTTTGGCAAGACATTAATCTACATTTGCCACTCTCCACCCAAGTGAAGTAAATGGGTACCTTGTCATTCACATTGACCATTGTCTAATGTTCTTTGGCAAGACAATATTAAATCTACATTTGCCACTCTCCACCCAAGTGAAGTAAATGGGTACCTTGTCATTCACATTGACCATTGTCTAATGTTCTTTGGCAAGACAATATTAAATCTACATTTGCCACTCTCCACCCAAGTGAAGTAAATGGGTACCTTGTCATTCACATTGACCATTGTCTAATGTTCTTTGGCAAGACAATATTAAATCTACATTTGCCACTCTCCACCCAAGTGAAGTAAATGGGTACCTTGTCATTCACATTGACCATTGTCTAATGTTCTTTGGCAAGACAATATTAAATCTACATTTGCCACTCTCCACCCAAGTGAAGTAAATGGGTACCTTGTCATTCACATTGACCATTGTCTAATGTTCTTTGGCAAGACATTATTTAATCTACATTTGCCACTCTCCACCCTGGTGAAGTAAATGGGTACCTTGTCATTCACATTGACCATTGTCTAATGTTCTTTGGCAAGACATTATTTAATCTACATTTGCCACTCTCCACCCTGGTGAAGTAAATGACCCGCGGTTGGAAGAAATTTTTGAACGCTTTAGCGCCTTATTATGGCAGCTCAGCTACAATCGAGGTAATAATGTGATACCTTGTAATATGCGCCGGAGAGTATTCACATAGTAACTGCGCTTTATTATATAAATATCATTTATTCAATTTCATTTATTTTTACATTGAAATAAGCTGTGAAAATTCAAGCAAAAGGTGCAGTATGAAGTGTAACCTTTGTTATATTTTAAACAATTGCTGATGGTGTGAGCCACGTAAACCCATGGAATGACCCCCATATTTCTTCTGCTTACCCATACATAATGAAAAGTGTAATGTTATTCATGTTTTATACAGGACTCAAGACGAATGAGTGGAAGGATATCAGATCTCTGCTAACCAATTGTACCTACTTAGAAGATTCAGAAATACAGGTGATGGGATTCAGGATCTATGGATCACCATGGTAATTTGTTTATCTCTTCTCACTCTCTATCTCTTTCCCCTCCACATCTCTCTCTCTCTCTCTCTCTCTCTATGTCTTTGTAGGCCTATCTCTCTCCTCTCTCTCTCTCACTCTCTTTCTATGTCTTTGTAGGCCTATCTCTCTCTCTCTCTCCTCTCTCTCTCTCTTTCGCTTTCTCTTTCTCTCTCTTTCTCTCTCTCTCTCTCTATGTCTTTGTAGGCCTATCTCTCTCTCCCCTCTCTCTCTCTCTCTCTCTCTTTCTCTCCCTCTGTCTTTGTAGGCCTATCTCTCTCTCTCTCTCTCTTTCTCTTTCTCTCTCTCTCTCTCTCCCTCTCTTTCTCTCTCTCTATGTATTTGTAGGCCTATCTCTCTCTAATCCACACTTGTTCCTTCTCTCTCTCTCTTACTATTTCTTTTTCTTTCCTTCTCTCTTACTTTCTTTTTCTAATCCACATTCGTTCCTTCTCTCTCTCTTTCTCTCTTACTATTTCTTTTTCTTTCCTTCTCTCTTTCTCTTTCTTTTTCTAGACCACATTCGTTCCTTCTCCCTCTCTCTTACTATTTCTTTTTCTTCCCTTCTCTTCTCATTTTAGTATGTTCTTCACAACTTTTATTTTCAGAGTATGTAAACTCTAAAATTAAAAAGCAAGGTTAAGGAATGCTTGCATAAAGTGTGTCGGCCAGGGGGAGGTGATTTAGAAGATAAAGAGTGAGCGCTTTTCCTTTTCATTGTCTTCATGCTTTCATCTACATGTAGGTAAATAATATCTATAAAGTGCTTTATCAGAGAGGGTATTTTTTTGATTAAGCGCTCTACAAATCTAGAATCCAGATTTATTATTATTGTCTCATGTTTTGTTTTTTAGGGGCAGGGGGAGGGGAAGGGGAAGGATGTTAATTGAAAGAGAACACTTTCTCTTTTCTCTTCTTCTTTTATCATGATTGTTCACCCTTTCTTAATTCTAAGTTTAAATTTTTTTCACGCAGTGTTCAATATTACCATCTTTCTATCATTTCTAGAGTATTCTTATTTGTGTCTTCATGTTTCTTTCTTACAGGCAACCAGTGTTTTGCGACTGGGGTTTTAATTTACCACGAGGACAACCCCTACTAGATAAATGGAACAAGATCCCAGAGGGAACCGATATACTCATTACACATGGGCCACCTCTAGGTAAAGAAAGCTTTTAAATATAATCTCTCTCTAGGCCTATCTTCATCAGCTCAAGATTGCCAAATATCCGGCTATTTTAACTATCCCCATTAAAGGTATAGACAAGTTCTGGTCATGCGATTGCATTGTGAAAGAAACGTTGTGGAATCGATCAGACAGGTTTTAGATGACTATTGTGAAAATTACCATGGCAACATATTTTTTTCTTCATCAGATAAACCTTTACTCTCAATCTAAAATTGTGCTGTATGAAATTGGTTGTACATGTACATGTCTAGGAGATTATTACATTGATTGCTTTAATGTCAGTATGCTTTTTATCACAAAAATCCTTGCTTTTGATCAGAAAGTGTGATTTATGAAGCAATCATATTTCTTGGATTATTATTAGGGTAATTATCATAGGATATTGTCATTAATTGGAGTGTACATGTACTTTTTATCCAATAGTACTTTTGCTTTTAAATTGAATGTTTGCTTTATGATATAATACCATATCTGGGTAATCATGGTTTTATATACTACTATAAAACCAAATATGTTTTCTATCCAAATTTGTTTTTGATTTTTTTAAAATCTAAAAGTATGTTTCATAATTATTTGTTTGTGTGTGTGACTATATCTGTGTTCCCAATAAAAAATGTTTATGAAAAAATGACATGTATTTTTGTTTTAAGCCCATCTGTACTAGTTTACAGGAGGGATAAGCCCACACTGCAAGGTCACTGGACAGGTGGGTTATCTCATCAACTCAGCTCTCAATTAACAAAAGAAAAAGAGGATGATGAGGGACCAATGGTCACTGATTAGGTATTGTTTTCTATATGGAGGGCGCAAGTAGCTTTAAGTAGTGCAGTGGTGCTTTAAACCAGATCATGAGTTGTAGAAATAATATCTCTTCGGCAATCACTGTCCTGAACAATTTCATAGTTAACTTTTTTATCTTCTTTTCCTTTTTTTTGTTCTTTTTCATCCTTGCAGGTCATGGCGATCTAGCCAGCAACGGTTGCCGGGCAGGGTGCGTGGAGCTACTATCCACCGTCCAGCGACGCGTCCGCCCGAAATACCACGTCTTTGGTCACATCCACGAGGGTTACGGAGTGACGACGGACGGCCAGACGACTTTCGTCAACGCTGCTATATGCGATGTACACTACCGTCCGTGCAATCCACCCATAGTTTTCGATCTTCCAACGCCTCGGGTACCCACAGTAGAAGCGGAGAGCTCAGTGTAATAGGGTTTATTTACACCAGTGTTTTTTCGGTATCTTCCGACGTAGCATGTATGGACATGGGTGGCAAAGAGGGCAATATGATGAATGTGTTTACCCTGCCTTGCTGTATTCTGATATTAGGATAACAGAAATTTGATGCAGAGATACTTTCGCACGGTTCAGTGTAAGAGGTTCATTTACACCAGTGTTTATTCCGTATCTTCCGACGTAGCATGTATGGACATTGGAGGTAGAGAGGGCAATATGATGAATGTATGTACACTGCCTTGCTGTATTCTGATACCGAGTATAAGGAAAGTTAATGCAGAGAGTTTAGTCTAATTGATGGTTTTCGCACAGGATTAATTGTGTTATTTTTTATTGAGACAGCCTGTATTAATTGTGTTATTTTTTTTGGAGATAGCCTGTATTGACAGTGGAAGCAGGGAGTTTAATTTTCTGCATTCACACCAGCATCAATCGCTTGTTTCCAACACCATGGGTGGTATTCTCATAAGTTAAGCCGGGACTAAGTCCAGACTAAACAAGAATATTTGGTCACACTTCTATGGAATGCTAGGTTTCATCTTCCTCCTTCAATATTCATGACAAAGATAATCTACCAAAGACTTTGTTGAAATTCAGTTCATACGGTACTCATATTGTCTTTTTCTTCCCATTTCATTGCAAAATTAATTTTTTGGACACTTTTCATTGAAGAATTAAAATAATATGTACAGGGTAAATGAGTTGGCAACAGGCATTCCATAAAAGTGTGGACTAACTTAGTACGAGCTAACTTAGTATGCGCTACCAGAATACCACCCAATGTGTAAAGACAGTGGAGACTGATACCTGGGCACCTTTTCACAAAGGCGCATAACTTCAAGTTTGCTGGCAACCTATTGAGACGCATATATGAAAACTCACTGTTTCAATGGGATGTCAGTGATTTGTGCGGGTGACGGTTTTGTGAAACGATGCCCGGGGTCTCATTGTTCCTTTCACACCTGTTGTAATGACGCTATTCAGACGTAGCATGTGAGGGAGAGAGGTTGATCTAATGGAGGTGTTTACACTGCCTTTGATTGCTCAATTCCAATGCCATGTTTACAGACAGTGCAGGATGAGAGCTAGGTCTCATTAATGAGTTCACACCACTATTAATCATGCCATTTGGGCGCATCCTGTTTGGACATCTGAAGGTGAGAAGTCAATGATATCTAATAAGCGTGTTAATTTTAAACCTCCATGAATCGTGCTATTTCAACACACTTGTTTACCGACTGTAGAGTCCGAGAGTGTGGTCTATTGGATGAGTTCACACTGGCATCGATCGCATATTGTGACTTGGCCTGACAAGGTGAGAGGGAGAGAGAGAGAGCAGTCAGATTGTCATTAATCACTTTATTCTGACACTGTGTTAACCGCCAGCGAAGGCCAAGAGCTCAGTCTAATTCTTGTGTTCACAACATCAATGATTGCTCTCGTTGAGTAACAATGGAAGCTGCAAGCTCACTCTCATATCGAGGCGTTCACACTGCAATAACTAAAGGTAGACCTGGGGAGCTTGGTTCAGTAGATACGTTCACACTATCTTTGATTGGTTTCTATTCCAAACCCCTGTGTATTGAGATTGGAAGTGGGGGAATCCCCTAGTTTTAATCACATGGTTTTTCACTCTCGAGTTCTTTCTTCCAGTACAAAGTGTACCGACAGAGTTAAGTAAGGAGAAACCTCAGTCAATGAATGTGTTCCGACTTGAATTGGTTGATCGCTTCTGGCTAAGCTTCTTCTTAACGATGTTTGCTGAGAACTCGTTCCAATAGACCTGGGAACATTTCATCAAATCGTCATAAGTACAAGTTTGCACACATTCGATTAAAACATGTGCATTATAATGAGCACACGATTCTATGGGATGTTGGCAAACTTGCCTTTATAACGGTTTAGTGAAACAATTCCTTTACTAACTGTATGCATACTTCTTGAAAAGAGGTTTAATTAACAACTCAAAAGCTTGCCAGGCATAGCAACAGTCAATGTAAGCAAAGATGATTCCATCTGTACTATGATGCCACAGTGCATAGCAGGCGAATCAAATAGTTAAATCCAGGGGTTGTGGAGAGAGAGAAACATGCATAAATTTGAATACATTAGCAAACAGGTCATTTCAGTGTATTCATACCCTGACTGATTTTCTGTGAATGCATGTGATGATAAGACGGAAAACTGACTCTTGTGAATTGTTAACACTTCCAATGATCACTCCTGCACTACGATTGAAACAACGTTTCACAGTAGGTGATATACGAACCAGCTCATTTCATTTGTGTCTTTCAGAGCTGTTGTGGTATTCGTCCTCTTTCAAAGATGACAGACAGAATTCGCTCAATCCTTCAAGAAAAAACAAAGGCTGATATTATATTGTGCAATTTTAGCAGAACGCATCTCAGCATTATAAAGAAATTCTTGTCAGTCTGATTTCGGTCGTGCGGTGTGACTTGGGTAATAGGGATAGATCAAGTGTAGAAAGCCACGCAATGGCATCATCTGAAACAAGAAAAATAATAATCATGAAAACATTTATAATGTGCTACATATCCGCCCAGAGGGTGCTCAAGGAGCTTACAATGTGCTACATATAAACTATACTTAGATACAATTATGCTTACATTACATTATACATGATGAAAAAAGATGATATAAGTTAAAGTTGGGCATTAGATAAGTTTTCAGACTGGCCTTGAAATGATCTACTGATTTACCGTCCTTAAGTGTGTTAGGGAGACTGTTCCACAATCGGGGAGTTGCTGGGGCAAATGCTCGATCTCCCCGTGATCGTCTGGTTTTAGGGGTGATCAGAGTTGATGTATTGGAAGAACAGAGACCAGAACGACCAGGCTTGCGAAAGTTGAGTAGAAAAGAGATGTACTGTGGTGAGGAGAACTTCAGAAGGATTTTGTAGGTGAGACGATGTTCAACAGGAAGCCAATACAGTTCCTTTCATATAATGTGTTGCAGCTCCATGTATAGAGACGGATCAAGTTTTACGAAGCCACGCAATGGCACCATCTGAAACAAGATGGAGTACCTTGAGGTCTCTCTGGAACAGTTTTCAGATCGTTGTTGAAGATTTATTGAAGTTGAAAGGTTAAAATCGGAAATACAATGATGATGTATTTCTGATAACTCCATCCAGACCAGAGGATGATTGGTTGGCTTTCCATTGAAAAGCAACAGAGTGAATCAAACTAAAGAATCCCTGTGGTGTAATTAATGTTGAATTTCTTGAGGTCTCTCTTGCAGCGATATCATTATCTCCTAATGCTTTAAACATTCAAGCAGTGGGCTGGAGCGGGGCAAATTCAGTGTGTTGGCGCTGGTCTGATCACCATGCCATTGTTTAGCACAAAACTTGTTTGGAGCCAGCAACCTTTACAACTTGGCCAGGATGAAGTCATACTTCGTTAATCTATAAGAGTCGAGAAAAGGGATGGTGAGCTTTACTTAGAGCCTTTTGGTTCTCAATGTTTCAATCGGTATGCTCTGAAGCTTTTTCAGCCTTGGTTTCTTAGTTGGAGGCGCAATGGCTCAGTGGTAGAGCAATGGTCTTGCAGCCGAGAGGTCAAGGGTTCAAATCCAAGTGGATGCGCTAGTGCCATTTGGTAAGGCATTAATCCTCAGTACCAAGTCCCTCAGAGAGGACTTGAAGCTGTCAGTCCCCTGGGCAGCATCTCATGAATTTGTCATAAGTACAAGTTCACCGCCATCCCATTGAAACGTGTGTTAAACTTAATACACAATTTCAATGGGATGTTGTTGGACTTGTACTTATGACGGTTTCGTGAGACGCTGCCCTGGTTACTTACTTATAGGCATATAGATGCTTTGTTAGCAGTCGGGTAAAAAAATATTCCACCAACCATCAAAGAATTGATCTACATTGTGGGCATATTGGATGCTAGTGTTAACCTTCAGTCAGATGTGGCGTGATGTACCTTGGAATGAAAGATGAGAAGTACAAATTTCTCCCTCAATCCTTACATTTACCAATGCTATGTCAGGTCAAAGAGATTTGTAGTATGATCTCTTTGGTCAGGTAGACTTGTATTTTGATGATGATGGTGTTTAACTCTTTGTATATGCCACATAAATAACATCCATATGTGACACTGTATTTATCATTGGATAGATATACCAAAGGTTTCAAGATTATGTAACCGTTTCCAGTGCAATATAAATCTATGCCGATGTTAAAAGGGTTGTCATGAAGCTCATCAAGACAGGTAATTGGTAATCCTGCAAAGCCGTGGTGTTGCATGAAGCAATCCTTCTGTTTGTTGGTGCATATTGTTTTGTGCAAAACTGCACGTTTGGCTAACAATTGACAGTGCAGAGAGGTGACGAAAGCAACCGAAGTGTTAATGAATTATTCACAGGTGTTTACAAAGCCAAGAGATGGAATGATGGTGGAAATATGCTGGAGCTGGGGGTGTTCCATAAAGCTGTTCGTAAAGTTACGCATGACTTTAGGAACGACTTGAATATGAAGTTCCAAATGGGATGCCCAAAGTTTTTCCTAATTTTTCCAATAACCTCAATTAAATTATGGCAAAAAATATACTTTGCATTAAAAATGTTTGTTATAATACGAATGTTTATTTACATCTGCACAGTTCAACTTTAGTTGATGCTGTTAAAAATGATTGAGCATCCCATTTGGCTTTTCATATTAAAGTCACTCGTAAAGTCATGCGTAACTTTACGAACAGCTTTATGAAACCCCACCCAGGTCTTTTGAAACGCTTCTATTTGATTGTTTTATTAATATGCAACTTACTGTATGTGACCAAATTACCAAAGACCAAAGTTTGTTTATGTAAAACCCCTTTGGTTCTTTTTTTACAAATCCTTTTGTATTTCATTTTTAAAGTCTAGCTAATAATAGTTTGTCTATATCTTGCGGGACTTCCATTTGTTCTACATGCATAATCATTTGATACATTTTTTTAGTACTTTTATGAGTATCGTAAATTTATTGTTATATTAATGTAAAATAAGAATTTAATATAACCTTTGATATCTGACACTGCCATTATTGTTTGTGGTTAAATTTTTTGTGGAAAGAAAGGAAATGTGAGAAGTTTTACATGATGTTAATGTTTGTGTGTTGGTAACAGTCAGAAAAAGATGGTAAATAATTGTTTGCGTGAAGTACAAATTATACTCAAAGACTCGCTATGGCTGGCTAAAAGGAGCACAAAAGCAAAAGAGGTCAGAATTAATTGAGTTGTTATTTTGTTGAAG